TTCGGATGGAATTCACTGGGATTCCATAGCTCACTCCCGAACACTTGGCCGGGTGTGCACATTTGGATGGAATTCACTGGGATTCCATTGCTCACTCCCGAACACTTGGCCGGGTGTGAACTTTTGGATGGAATTCACTGGGAGATTTATAGACACTTGGATAATAAATCAGGTGTATACTCTAATGGAATACGCTGGGACTCCATCAGAACCTGGGGGTATAAAGACACTTGGCCTCTACCCGGCTCTATATCGTACCTTCCGGCACATGACTACGCGATACTTTGCACAGGGCACGTAGCAATGCGGCATACCAACAACCCGGGGCCCTCGGGCGTGGTATACTAGCATGCAGTACCTGCATGCGGTGTACCCGCAACTCGGAGCCGGTTACTTCTGGCGATCATAAATCATCTCGTATGGAGAACTATGTTTGTCCTGGTCCAGTTTCAAGCCTCCATGGTATACCCGACTTAGTGACTCTTATTTCAAGCCGCCATGGTCACCCGGAATAATGACTATTATACACTAGAAAACCGGTACTACATAAACTCAACTGAAATTAGTTCGAGACAACATCTATAGTCTTATCTCGAAACTTAAGTTCAATCCTAGGCTAGAATACTCGAGTCTCTTCCCGATCGTCTGTCGGTCCACTATTGACCGCAAAACTTTCTCTCTTAAATTCTATCTCGGTACGTAGGCGAATTGCACTTGTGTCCGTACAAGATCGTACGGTGTCTACGTCAAAAGTCTTTTGTTAACTGTTTTGGTAACACATCGTTCTCCAAAATGCAATCGTCATCCAAAACGCAGGCTCTCAGGTGTTATGCTTATTTACAACTCTCGTACGCTCGAGGGTTGGTTCTTCTTCTACTTTTGGCTCTTTTCGAACCTCCTGGCGACTGCTACGGTTTATCGTTGGTGTATTCTTGTACTATTGTAACGCCTTGGGTAGTGGCGTTCGTATGTGGCGCAAGCTGGTGGAACCGGTTGTAGTGGCTGGAGTATTTATGATTGGGTCTCTTTCCTCCGTCTATCTTCTCGCTGTAGTGGGCCGGGTGGTACTTCTCCCAGTACGAAGCCCACCAGAGATCTACTTATGCATAAATAGATTGGATAACTATGGGACTATCGGTAATTTGGTACTCATGTGCACCTTTTGGGAGTCCCCTCCCACAAAAATCCAGGCTGGGCATCGCCCACTCATCTAGACGTTAGACTTAGGCTGGACATCGCACTGCCCATCTAAGTCATAACTGACATCTGACAATTTCGCAATCCAGGCTGGACATCGCCCACTCATCCGGACGCTAGACTTAGGCTGGGCATCGCCCACTCATCCAAGTCATAACTGAAATCTGATATTTTCGCAATCCAGGCTGGGCCTCGCCCACTCATCCGGACGCTACACTTAGGGTGGGCATTGCCCACTCATCCAAGTCATAATTGAAATCTGATATTTTCGCAATCCAGGCTGGGCCTCGCCCAC